ATGCTGAAACAGCCTCTGGGCTGATCTAAGTCAAGGCATGGCTAACTCATAGATTGAGCCCTGAAACAACTTCTGCACTGATCTAAGTCAGGGCATGGCTAACTCACAGATGGAACCCTGAAACAACCTCTGGGCTGATATAAGTCAGGGCATGGCTAACTCACAGATGGAACCCTGAAACAACCTCAGGGCTGATCCAAGTCAGGGCACAGCTATAAACCCACAGATCAAAACATAACCCTGAAACAACCTTGCCCTTGGTGCTGATCTACGTCACTGAACAATTAACACACAGATATAATTCAAATTTATTTAGTGTGTGTTTTTTCGCTGAGGGAGGAATTAAAAACTGTATATACAATACCATGCATACCAAATATGCTCTCTTTACTATAATTAGAATACCAGTTCCTGCAAGCAGCAATGTACCTGCCTTTAAGAAGAAATGAAATATTTTTTGAAGTTAGATATTATGTTAACACGTATCCCCTCTCATCCCCCCCCCCCCCCCCCCCCCCAAATATTTTGAAAGACCCTTAATCGTAATTAAAGGCAATTTCTTAATTGAAAGCATATGTCATTTGTGACACATATTTTAGGTTTCCCTTATTGAACCAAAATGTTTTTAATTTATTAGGGAGATAGAATAATTGATAACAATTTGGACATCTGATTATGTGGGCTCCCTGTGGTACATATGTCTTACTGCCATTTCACAATGAAACAAAGCATGTACATCACCCTAAAAGCTGGCAGGTAATTGTCTACGAAATTAGAAGTCTTAGTAACGAAATCCTCCTTTTCTTTTTCTTCGTTTTCGCTTCCAAAGAGAGAAGAAAGGTATTCTGTTATCCAAACCATCTTGCTCTCTTCGCATTTCCCACAAAGCACTGCGAGGCATGTTTTTTTTCCGAGTGGTGTTTTCCGTCAAAAGTTCGGCAACTCTCCGTCGAACATTCGTAATTTTTTCAAAATTTTTTTATTGCTTTTAACAAACAAAATCATTAACATATTCATTTGGACTTGTAAAGATGGTACATGAGAATGAAAATAGGCTGCAGACTTATAAATATTGAAAACTAATTAAGATTTTGTTGTTGTTTTTTAATTGGCTGTCCTGTCGGTGTTTCTTCGGCTTTCCGATTTCTTCCATATTTGGTAGTGGTTTCAAGGTTCGCTTCTCACCATGTGACCTACGTCGGTTGCACGTTCGCCGTTAGAGAAGGAACTCGTTCAAAATGGCGACGAACGGAACTAAAGAGGAGTACGGAAAAGTCGTTATTTCTCTCGAAAACTGTCTCCTCTCCACCGAAAAACTTATCGAAACACCATCTATAAGAGATGGACTACCTAAAGAAGTCGAAACAAGTCTAAGAATTGTTGGTTGTGAGTTTATACAAGCCGCAGGAATATTGCTCAAACTTCCACAGGTAACGAAATAATCCGATATTATTGCTGGATTGCTCGTTTAGTTTGAACCTTTTCTGACTTGAATTCTTCTTTGCAAACCCTCAGGTAGCAATGGCTACTGGACAAGTTATATTTCAGCGTTTTTTCTATTCTAAATCGTTCGTAAAGCACGATGCTGAGGTAGGTTGAAATGTTCAATTCTTGTTCAAATCTTTAACAAGTTTTACGAAGTGTTCGCTTCTGTTCTAGCGTTGTGGCGAAATAAAAGGCGAAAAGTTTGAATCTTTTCATCCTTTATAACTTACTTTAATACCCTTAACATTTTTTGTTTTAGCCTGTTTTTGTAGGACAAAATAAAAATGATTTTTATGGCGCATAAAATACATAAAACACACAATTCAGCTATAATTTGCACATGTAAAACCACAAAATAATAACAAGAATTATGATCCACTGATCTCAAATTTACTATATTATAAAGTGGCTAGAACAAAGTTTTTGGCTACAAATATTCCAAAAGAGTGTGGTGACACTAGTAGGAATTAGTTCAGATAAGTTTTGAAATTTCATTTTCCAAATGCTTTGCAAACTTTCAAAGTAAAACATTCAAGAATGGATAATCCTTTTCATGGAAGTCCAAACATGGTCGGTCGCATAACATGCCAGTAGTGCAGTTGTCAAACATATCCTTCCCTACCAGGTCAAGATGTATATAGACTCTCCTCATGTAGCACACTGTACTCAATCAATGCCAGGCATATAGTAAGATATCACTCCCCCCTACCCCCAAAGTACACTCAGAGGTCAAGGATATCACATTCTGACGTCATATAGATGCTTTAAAGTAGATCTGTTATCTTACCTAGGTGTACGCTATGGCGTGCATCTTCCTGGCTGCCAAAATTGAAGAGGCGCCACGGCGGATAAGAGACGTTATAAATGTCTTCCATTACATCAAGCAAAGACGAAACAACAGGTAAATATATTTTCAATTTAAGGGATTGTTGGGGTTAGGGATAGGCCATGACTGCTATGTTGGGTGACTTCAACGAGGGATTTAGTGTTGGTTTCTGTTGTTACATAGTCCAACATAACAGCATTATCTTCACTTCTTTTATTCCCTTGGAAAGAATCTTACAGGCAACTATTTTAGTTGTTATGACAAATTAAATAGAACTTAAGGGGTGGAGTTGCAAGTTGGGAATGGAGGCTTAAGTTACTGTTTTCAATATTACATGGACTCAGTAGCTTCAAGTTGCTTATAGGAATTTGGTTTTTCACTGCTGCCAGTCAAAAATTTAAAAAGGTGCTGACTGATTTTTGATTGATGGAAACAAAAAGCAAATGTCATTGTGTGTCTTCCAGCCACCAAGCTGGCATTTATTGAAAACTGCAGTAATAAAGATTTTTTCCCCCGTCAAAATCCTTCCTTGAATTATCAGTCTAAAAGAAGATGCATTACATTCATATGGTCTTTTCTCTCAATATTGGTATAAAAAAGATTCCCCCAAATATTTTTCAAACTGTTTGTTGTTTAAGATACTTTACCAATTTGTCTTTGTGGTCCATGAGTTGTTTCTCAACTTCTTAGACCCTAGAAAACACTGTCCTTTTGATTTTAAAAGCACTTAATGCTATGAAAAAAACTAAGATTGGTTTTGCATGTGCCAAAAAAAAAGCACGTAAATGTTCTTATGAAAAGAGCATCAGAGAGAGAGGCGAACTTCTGATGACAGTGGCAAGTTGACGAAAGCATTGTCTTAACCTCATCTTCAGTAGGAACAGCCTTAAAAGTGCTCTCACATTAGTTTCTGACCTATGCATGTTAATGTTAAACATTAGAATCCAGAATCACATTGTCGTAAGAAAAACTTATTATTATTAAAATTAATTCTGTTAAATACTGTACATTGAGATAGGTAAGGTCTTGTTAATTTTGCATAGGATACTTGGTAAAATTTAATAGATCTTGTACAACCTTTTTTGCGCATGAATAATGTTTTTTGTATTTTTGACTGAAATATGTTATAAATTTTATAAGCTTCGAAATGCCTAGTTTATTCATTCATTTATTTGCTGAGTGGATGATGACATTGTCTTACTTTTGTATTTACTTTTACACTGTAGTTTATTAGTTTGGTTTTTTTACTTTGTACAATTTTTAGAATTTGTCAAAATGTTTTATATCTAAAATATTATCTGAGTACTGATTGTTGATTTTGATTTATTTATTTGTTTATTATGAACTCTGCTCACCCAATTGACATATCTTTCCTTTTTTCCTCCTTTTTGCATCGTTGTTCATGTTACCTCCACTCCAGCCTACCTGTGGACTACAACTCCAAGCACTTTGCATAGCCCTTTCTCACCAAACAACACTCTGATCTACTAAATGACTGAGTGACTACCATGTGTTGCGTGAGATTGTTATCTTGGTGATATCACTACTGGTCTTCCCAGCTGGCCTCTAAACAATCAGGCAAGCTTACTATAAGCCATGATATGTATTTCATTTCTACATTTCAAGTACACAATTTATCATTAAATTGATAAGTTGGTGTGATATTTTTAACCTTATCCAATTAAATCAAATGTAGAATATGTAACTACCATGATATATCATCATTTCTACACTGCTATGGGATTTTAAGTTCGACATTCTTTTGCAAAAGTTGACTAAACTCTACGTATTTACATATGTTCTGTCATGTATAGTACATTGTTCTTGTACTGTATGTCAAAATGTTTGATTAGAAGTTAGAGATCTTGGATAAAATAGATAGTTTATTACTAAAAAAGCTATGTAATATCTTTTTCATTTAACAAGACTTATGAATATAAATTTATGTATTTACGTAGCTTTCTTAGTAAATGAACTTTATTTAAAATGAATAATTATAATGCTATGATTTGTAATGATCATGTGTAACATGTAAGAGTTTCCATAACCAAATTAATTGATAAATCATGAAGTTCTTCATAAAACTATTAGAGAAGGAGTTCTGTATGCCTCAACACAGAAATTCATCCTTCTTAAGCATCGCGTTTGAGGGGAAAAGATCTTTCAAAATGTTGGTAAGTAGCTTTTGCTTTTTATGTATTAGTTTTACTGAATTTTAAAGTGCTACTACGACGAAAATCGCTCAAACTTGGATTCAGCTGAAACTTCCTAAGAATACTCTTTAAAGGTCCAATAATCACTGTATGAAGTGTTTTCTCGATATTCAGGACGAAAGTATGATATTTTTACGATTATTTTTTGGAGTCTGTGACGTCATACACTCAACATCAAACATCGTTCCATACATTTCTTTGTAGTTTATGATCAAAATATCAGTAGTAAAGGGAGAAAGAAATACCCAAACACCCCAAAATATAAATTATAGTCCCAAGTAATGTGAAATAAGCACATTAGCCACCCTTTGGGCTTCATAGGAAT